TCTCCCAGCTTCACCACACATGCAAGAAGCATCCCAGCGGACATCAAAGCCGCGCAATGGCCACATTTGGGCTCATAACCTGTGATTCACCAAGTTCTGCCCACACACCGCCCAAGCTGCATAGCTACGAGCACAGCTACCAGACATGGGGGCACGCACCGGGGCAACCGGCTCTTAAGGGCTCCAGCTATTCACACGCAGTTTCAACCCCTTTTTTAGGTCTTTTTTGTCGCTTGTCGCTTGGCTGGAAAAAAACAAAGGTGTCCTTTGTTCAAGAGTGAGGACAGAGTGCAATGCATTTTTGCTGGCCCATCCCCCTTTGCAAGCAGCACGCTTCCTTTTACGCATTGTTCGTGAGATGATACTGAGAGCTGTTGGCTGTTGGCTGTCACTCTAACACCAACAAGCCCTTGTGGCCTCTTCTCTCTCTCGGCGGAGCTTCTCAGTGGCCAGGAACACTCGCTGCAATTCCTCCTGACAAACTGGATCTGACCAAGTGCTCCGCTAATGGACAGCAGTAGTTGGGGGTGGCAGCCGCCCCTCCACTTGGGGTTCATACCCCCTTCAAACTTTGAGTACGGCACAAAAGGTATATGCAAACACTTGCAAAAGCTTTATAATATATATATATATTATTTATTTATACTGTCAACATGCCATGGTGGGCTGCACTTGTTCTTGGATTCTGTACATAGTGCTTTAAGAAGCCCGAGATGCGACATGCCTGTCTGTCACTCCAACTTGTTGCAATTTTGCTCGGATACACAAAGTGTATGAGGGTCTACATTCTACATAATATTACATAATATGGTTGCTCTTCCATACAAGGTTTCTTTTCTTAGAAGCCTCCTCAATGTGCAGTCAATCTCATGTTCAGAATATGAACTGCTCACAGGAAAGGTCATTCCGATAGTGATTAACCCTATCCTGGGATCAAACAAAAAATTGCTTTGTCGATGCCTGCAGCGAGACGCCGACCGTGTTTGCACCCTGACACAAGAGATGTCCACACAAATTTGGATTGGACGACCACCCGCAGTCTATGCAGAGATGAAATCAAAACAAGTGCATGTCAGGATGCTCGCAAGTCAAAGTCGAGTCTTGTCTAGCCTGTATGCAGCTCACAAGGTTTTAGCTCTCGTTTGCAGCATGAGCACTCATTGCTTGCCAACCCCAAGAACAACTTGCACCTTTGATACTTGATACCCGAACATTCCAATAGGACAGTCGCAAACCCAGCTGCTCTGGTCAGCCTTTGTGCTTACCTCCAGCTGTTGCAAAGTGCACCTGGTGTTGCCCGAAGTTTCAGCTGCCATGGTTTGAGTCTTTGCCAACATGTCTCATCCACAAAAGTATGCCACCTGTGCTCATGTTGAATCACCAAAACCACTAGCCATCAGTGTGAAACAAGTTAGCAGAAGTATTGGCAACAGCAACGCTGGATGGCAAGCATACAGAGAGTTTCAATCGGTACTGTGCATGATCCTTAGCAAGTAGCATGCCATTAAACGGGCCTTTGCATCCCAAAGTGGCCAGAACCGAGTTGGAAACTCATCTTTACTCACAAAGACTCACTTGTAGAAAGCACTCTTGGCCTCAATTGTCGGACCGACTCTCCCAAAACCTGCCAGATGCAGCTTGGGTGGCCGGCTGCACCAGAATGGTTTTCATGAAAAAAGACGCTCGCTCGGCACGTTCATTCTCTAAGGTCAAGATATAGATCCTGGGCGCAATGATCCTTCCAAATGCAACAGCAAGGGTACGAGACGCGTGACTTGGGAAGCCTTGAGGCGCTGCTGCCAACGTTCAAGGTCCTGCACGCCCACCAGAAAACGCATCTGGACCATACATTGGAGAGGTTGGCAGGATGTGTTTGATTCCCAAATCTGGACAGACCATCTCTTTTGTGCAGAAATCCGAAGATGTGATGGATGAAAGGTGAGCATCTGCTTTGAGTGGATTAGCCACCAATGAGGAGCCATGGTTGTCGGTGTCCTCATTTTGAGAACTTCGACACCGTCAAAAGGCCAAAATAAGGTCAGTGACTCTGCAAACACTCTATAGTTAGAATGGATGCCTTGGTTGGTTTGCAACTTCACCCTGTCGCAACATATTTGTATCTTGTGAAACTTCTTGCCAGTACAAAGTCGTTCAAATTCGAGCACATGCCCTTCTTCCACCTTCGCAGCAGTGCAGTCTACCAAGCTGGAAAGCCTTGCAAGGGCCTCTTTCTGCCTGTCCACTCGCAACAATGGATTTGATCCGACCCCGCACATGGGAATAATTGATATTTTTGTGGGCATCGGCAAGTGATCAGGAAGACTGCATGAGTAATTCTTGACCTGTCAATGGCCTTTTAGTGTCTCACAAGCCCGACTTGATGCATGTGACATGAATTAGTACACACCTGATATCCAGGGTCTCCGTCAGCTCTTGAGCACAACGCTTCTTCAGCTGCGCAGCCTGTACACAAGGCGCAATGTGCTTTAGGATGATCGTGGCCCACACCTTTTGCCTCCCCGAAACTCTTCGCAAGGTCCAACACATCCTGACAGGCCCTTGCGGTTTAATCTCAGTTTGATTCATTGTCAATTGCTGCCTAGTTGCAAACACTTTACAAAGTGAATAGGGACATCCCGATCCTTGGAGGACTTGACGCTCTTGAATGCCTAGTATGTGCAAGCAAGCTTTGGCTGCACCGGCGCATTGAAACTTCCTTTGTTCGGTCCATCCCATCTTTAAAGGCAGAGCCTCGGATCTTGAGAACTGATACGGTAAAGGGTGCTTTGAACTTTGGCAGGGCAGACCTCTTTCGAGAAAAAGGACCGTCTCAGCAAGCCAATAGCTAGCCTGAAGCTGGCTTTCAGCTTCTACCTTCTCCTGCCATTGTGCCTCTGAGCGTACCTGAAAGACTGGGAAGGATGGTGATGCGTGTGCATTCAGTGCGTTTCGCTCTCAAAATCCGTAAGTCGGATGGAACCGTTCTCTGCCCTGCCTTCATTTGCCGCAGCCGTTCCAGGGCCTCTTTTGCCAGCACGTCCTGTTCAGATCAATGAAACTCAAACGAGTTGTATTGAAGAGAAGATTTACAGAGTTGCTGGATGATGGCTGGTTTCAGGACCACTTTCCATGGCCTCGGCTATGTCTGAAAGAATAACAAGAAGCTGTGATGATCGAAGAACAAACACAAAATGCCAAAATGTAGGCACACGTTTATCCCTTCATGCATTGTCAAAAAGGAGGATAACAGGTCATGTGGGTCATTTGGGCCATTGGGTCATTTGGCATATCCCAACGCAGTCTCCCCCGCTGCTTCGATCGCCTCCTGCTGCACCTCGCGCTTTTGCCGCTGGGCTTCTTCAAGGCGGTGGGCCTCTTGGAGGAGCTCCTGTCAAGCGAAGAGGGTGGAGGAAAGCCTAGTAGCTTCTTGTTACTAGTAGCGATGCCAGGAGCCTAGTAGCGTCCTTGCTCCTAGTAGCGATGCCAGGAGCCCCCAGTAGCGTCCTTGCTCCTACCAGCGATGCCAGGAGCCCCTAGTAGCGTCCTTGCTCCTAGTAGCGATGCCAGGAGCCCCCAGTAGGGTCCTTGCTCCTAGTAGCGATGCCAGGAGCCCCTAGTAGCTTCTTGTTACTAGTAGCGATGCCAGGAGCCCCTACATAGTCGCGTCCTTGCTCCTAGTAGGGATGCCCTTTGCTCCTAGTAGCGTCCTTTGTTCAGGGCTGATTAAAAAGGCCTTCTTGATAAAGGTGCGGTCGAAAGAAGTTGAATTCGTTCTTGGAGCAACCATCCATCAGGTATTGAATGAGTATGCTCTGCCACAAGCATCGCAGCCAAAAGATCTACACCCGAGCAGTCAGCCCCCCCAGCCCCCGTCTAGTCGGCACCCTGTTGATTTTTGGAACACATGAAATGGATCATTTTGGAACACTGATTCAACAAAAATGTCCTTGAAACCGCAGTCTTGCAACACTTTGGAGATCATTTGAAACATAGACCCGTTCCCACCCCCGCCGTGGTTTAAAGAACGATTTGGTGTACACACCACTTGCACCGCACCGGGTAGTGGAGGTGGTGGGTAAGGGGGGTTGAACTTTTTGCCACCAACCAACTGCTGATTTATGTAAGTGGATCACGCACGCGGGCTGGAAACCCTGAAACCATGGAAATCGTAAGACTGGCTGGAAACCCTTGAGTTACAAAGAAAATCAAAAAAACAAAGTAGAATGAGTAGAAAATGATGCCTTCGAAAACGATCAGCCAACGAGAGAGAGGGATTGCACGAAATGCACAGGGAAGCACAACTGCGCGTTCCGAACGATCCACATGTCGCGTTCCGAAAGGGTCCGAAAAATTTGAGGCGGCGACTCTCCTCATGGCCAATCTGCAACTGTTGCTGAGCCACATCCAAGCGCTCTTTGTGTTGAGCAACCTGCCGTGGTCCAGGAGAAAGCATGGTGTCAAGTCTTTGCTGAACCGGTATGGCAAACCGCCTCAATAGCACCACAAAGAAAAGACCCAACAGAAATCCCCAACATCTGGGCATCAAAATCCGCCCTGCTAGGCAGCGGCAACGTCGCAAGTTTACAAGTATCGTGTCTTTGCCAGCAACGCACGCTGTCAAAGCCTGAGCCGCCATGTGAGTGCACCCTCACAGGAATGCGTCGGCATAGCACGTGCGAGCACGACAACACCACTGCAAGCAAGAACAAGCAAGCCTGGTCCGGAACCCACTCTGGAACCTGCCAGCAAGTCAGCGCGACAGCATGACCCGACTTAAGCATCTCAGCGTGACAACATGTCAGCATGTTTGCGTGACACATGCCACCGCGCCAGCATGACAACCTTAACAGCCTTAACAAGCGTATCAGCGTGACAACGCGAATCTTGTCAGCGAATCGGCGCGGCAACACCTCAGCGCGTCAGAGAGACATCTGCAATGTGCTCCGGAACTTGCTCCGGACCTTCCACCAGAACCACCTCCGGAAGCTCCAGAACCTCCTCTGCAAACTCTCCCCTAAGCTTCGCTTTTGGGGGAAATCTTTGGTTGCAGCGTGCCTGCTGAACTTAATCAATCTAAACCCCAGTAAGACTGCCTGGAAAATGTGAAACTGCGGCAGCCCATAACCTTGCTGTGGAATCTCTGCCAAAAGAGACGAGAACTCGCCACTCTGACATTGATATTCAGGAATTTGCACCCTAAGCATTCACCTGCAATGTCAGGTTTCAATTGCCTCTCTTCTTTTGCCATCAAGCAAGCTCTTGCAAACACTTCAGTGCCTGTTTTTGGGTATTACCCAGCTCCTCCTGGCAAACGCAGTATGAACACAGCAACTTGTTGCCCTGCAGTGTTATATATATATATGTTTTGATATCTATACAAGTTATATATATATTATACACATCTGGAATGTGGATGATGTCGTCATCTCTGGCCTTGGAACATCACCCCCAGCTATCAAGTAGTTCGCAAAACATGGTAGCTCTTGCACCCTCGGAGTCTGCGTCCCATCGCCCTTGCAACGTTTGTCCACCAAACCAATCCCTGATTCCAAACTGGTTGGGACTTTGCACAGCTCCTGAACACTTTGTAAGCGCTTTTCTGCTGCAATCCGCTGGCGGCCTGTCGACATGACGACAGGAACGCGCGCGCACAGACAATCCTTCCTCCAAATTGCCACGCATCATCAATACGCGCTGCACTGCAAATTGGTTGAATGCTTCTAAATTCCGTCCAAGAGACAAAGGTCAAGGTCAAACATTTGCATCAAACGCGCCTGCATCTTGGACACGCATCTCCAACTGACGCAGGTCCCCGCGGCGCTGGCGATCACGCTGGTAATCTGGCGTCAGATGAGCAAGAGACCACGACTTACTGTTCATACTGTTGTTTCCTTTCCTTGTTTGGACCCTTAGACCTTCTGTTTTTCGTTTGTAATAACAAGCTTCGAAAAGTGCCCTGCTTCAGGATCATATCTCTAGAAGCTCGTTGATGAAAGGAGGCCGAGGTGCGATTGTCGGCTCGACAACGGAGCCTGGCCCCTGGATCTAAACGCTTGCACTCGAAGCAGCCTGTTTCTCCAAAGGCGTCGAATGACGTCATGTGCCCACCCTTCTAGTGCATTGGAGGTTAAATGGCAACAGGATCATGGCATGAAGTGGCATGACTGAACATGAAAATCTCACTGGTATTGTTTTCTTTTGCCTTTGACCTCCATGCGGTGGTGTCTTCATCACCGGGGTCTCGGGCTTCTATCAAGCTGACCCGTGGATCTTCCATCCAGGTCCTCAGCTGACTCTCAGCTGCCTGTTGCGCTTTGTTAGCGCGTCGGCTAGCATGGCTTCCGTGGGGACCCATCTCAAGCTGCGGCATGTCTGTCGCAAAGCAGCCACATCTATCTCCAGAAGGAGGTTGCCAGTCTGTGGATCGCATCGTAGAGCGATCTGGCATCTGTCACCGGCCAGATGGCGAAAGGTGACTTCGCTGAGTGGGAGGCGATGTAGGTGCCGTTGGCCATCTCGCCGAGCATGCAACCCGCGAAGTTGGCGTAGTCCTCGGACTTGTCCAGAGAAGCGGCCTCTGCGGCCAGGGTCGACCGAAGGACTCTCTGGTGCCGGTATGATTTCCAGTCGAGCAAACTGGCATCAGTCTGCTGGGTCAGGGCCTCAGGTGTGCTTGCAAGCACGATGTAGCCTCCCTGGCTCTTTCCTCCAGGGGCGTTGGCGAACGCTGAATCGCCGAATGCGATGAGCACCAGCTTCTCCATGTCAATCGGCTTGATCGTCACCGCCGTGTTCGCCGTCGCCTTGACGTACTTGAGCACGGAGTTGGCTTCAGCAAGATCACCATATGTTAGTTCGCTGTGACCTTTTTGCAGCAGGGAAGTGTCCGCCGCGATGTCGGGTCGAGTGGTGCCTGACATCCACTGCAAGGATCCTGCGGCGCCTCTGAACTCCGAGATCGCATCTCGGTCTGAGCCCATCTTGGCCTCATGGTCTTGTTTGACCTTGGCGATGATCACGTCAGTGGCGTGGTGGCTCTGGCTCAAGGTGATGTTGCCGTTGTCATGGCGAACTATTCGCCGTGCAACAAAAACAAAATCATTGACCTCCCAGGGACCGCCCCAACTGAAGGACTTTTCAACCTCATTGAGGATGCCCTCTTGGAGCGAAGCGGCCAAAATGTCATCCACATGGATGCCCAGGACAGCTTTGACCTCTCCGTTGACCTTCTTCAGGAAAATGCAAGGGTCAAGGGAGCGTTGCACCCACTTCAACTTGTTGACCATGACATCAAGCACATGCAAAAACCATTGCCGTGGTGCGTTTGCCTGGCCATAAACTGGGGCATGGAGCACATACAAAGCGTCAGGCTCTTCAGCCCATTCAGGCACTGCTTCTCGAGAGACTCCATCTTGGGGCACACGCATGTAGATCTTCTCTGGCCTCTCGTGGTCGGGCTTGCCCTGCAGGAAGGCTGACTTACAGTCTCCATTCACAATGTCCACCTGGTGTGAGCATGCCCACTGAAGGATGCACATGAGCCCAATGCGGGACAAAACAGGAGCATCTCGTGAGAGAAGTGGAAGGTGAGGATCACGGAATCCTTGGATCACGATGCGGGCTTTTGCTTTGAAAGATGCACCTCCATCAATCGGCTTCCACCGAAAACATACTTGAGCAGGCAAGATGAGGTGCTTGGCGATGCTTTTGGTGTCGCCAGTGAACTTCTCGCATGAAGCCCATTTCTTCCATTCGCTCCACTCCTTGCGCATGGACTCCACAAAGGCTTCCCAGTCTGAAGCGCCGATGGAGCGCCAAGGGAGCTCGCGCTTGAGGGCTTGTCGTTGCGTCCTCTTGAGACCAGCATCTTCTTCATCGGAGGTCTCAGGAAACACTTGGTGGCCTCCGGTGGTGGACATGTACACCTCAAAGGTCGTGATGTGGTTGTTGTGGTCATTCTTGGTGTTGTCCAAGTGTTCATGCCATTCTGCCACGTTGCAAGCTAAAGCAAAATGCTGCTTGCCGTCAAAAAGGGACTGGTGTTCTTTGGGAGAGCCATCCCAACCAGTCTTGAGAGCATCTTCACGGCCATGCCGAAGAAGCCAAACTGCTTCAGGGTTGTAGTGCTGGTATTGCTTTCTTTGTCGTCGAAGCGCTCGTGGGCTAAGTCGGCGACGACCTGGCTTGCTGGTGTGGTAGAGGACAACCTTCTTGGTGAAGTTCTGGTCCTCAATCTCGTCGTTGACGTAGCCAGCCAAAGTCAGCCATGTCCAGGTCTTCTTCTGAGGTTCCCAAGCAGCTATGCTCTTCAGAGTTGTGCTGGTGGTGCTGCTTGGAATGTCATCGCCGGAAATGCGATGGACCTCATCAGTCTTCCATGCTTCAACTTGCCAAACTTGTTCAAGTTCACGTTGACTTGGCAGGTGAAGTGCGTCGGCGGCGGCATGGTCGGAAGGTCTCCAACTGCAAGTCCTGGCATCAAAGTCCAGGTTGTTGAGCTGCACTTCAAAAGGGTGGTTGGTGAATTCCGTATTCATGCATTTGCTGCACTGTGGCTTGCCGGTGTTCATCTCATCGTTGATCTCCTTCTCATGGCAGCCACAAAAAGTGCAGAGAGACTGGGCGTCGATGGTGTCACACATGCCATCGGCCTCAAGTGAAACATTCAAGGCCTCATCGTCTGGTACTGCAGGTAGTTCATCTCGAATGCCCGGCATGGAACCAGTTTCGGCCATAACTGCATCTTCAGGGACTGGTCTCAGTCCAGTTGAAGTCTGCCTCGTCATAGCTGACACTTGTCGTGAAAAATCAGCAGGCGAAGGCATAGGTGCTGAGCTTGAGGCTTCTGAAGTCTTGAGCCTCTTGCTATCAGGCGCTGAACCTTGGGAAACCACTGAAGCCCTCCGGGATGTAGCCGGCGTCGCCCTCGGCGATGAAGGTGCCAGCAAGAGTGGTAGCGGAGCTGTTGCCCAAGGGATTCTCTGCGGGGTCCAGAGGTACGTCAGCAGGAACTTCAGGTTCAGCGAGTTTCAGGTGGTGGGTCGACTGACTCACCGGGAGCATCCAGAGGTTGCCTGCCGGGTTTGAGAGGACCTTCAGGAACTTCAGCAGGTGGTTGCTCTGGTAAAAGAGGAAGTCCGGGAGGTGGTGCTGCATCACGAAGGTCATGAGCTGAGGCGTGTTTCTTCTCCAAGTCTTGCTCAGCGGACCTCAGAAGGTTGAAATCCTTCTCGTCTGGGAGCCAAAATTTCGTCTCCTTGGAGGCGTCGAACCTGTTCTCGGCTCACTTGCACCAGTCGGCCTCTGTCGTTGCGAAGCCATATAACTTCCATTGATGGTCCTTGGCCAAGATCAGCCCTTGACGATAGCCAGGTTGAGATCCTTCGCCGTCCAAGGCATTGCGAAGGCGGTAGTAGACGACTTTCTGGCCGATCTCATAGGGGCCTCTCCATGGTCGTGAGCGACGAAGCATGCTCTGCCTCAAAGCGTTCTCATTCTCGAAGGACAGGAAGGCGTGCATCGCGTCAAAGCGAAGGTTCTCGATCTGCTGCAGCTTGTTGGACAGCGTGAGTCGCTCCATTGCTTCAGGATTGTCTCCCTCGGAGAGCACTGCTGCAGGTAGTCGAGGATTTTGGCCAAGTGCCCATTGAGCAGGTGAACTTCCAGCTCGCCTCGCAAGGGTGTTCTTGGCGAAGCAAGCCATCACAGCGCCGGTCTGCGTGTCCTCGGCGCCAAGTAGACCATGTTGGTCGACCAGCTTGTTCAGGATGGCTCTTGCGGCATCTCCATGTCGCTCGCACTTGCCCATCTGCCAATGAGCGTCCGGAGGGGCAAAGCGAACCATGATGTTGCTCTGGGCCATGAGCTCGTCGAAGGCGAAGCTCTTCATAGCACCCTCAGCGTCCACCAAGAGAGTCTCTGGTAGACCATAGCGCTGAAACCATCCTTTCACAAGCGCTGAGGTGATGGTGCTGGAGTTGCGGTCGTTGACCAAGGTGAGTACCTGAACAGTTGTTGCATCGTCAACTTGGTTCAGGAAGGCAAAGGTCTCACCTGAGGAATCCTTGGTGTAGAGCAGATCCAGCATCACACGCTCATTGAACCGTCTGGTAGGTGGTGGTGTCTTTGAAGGTCGAGGTTCTCGAGGTGGTTTGCTGCGTTCACAAACGGCGCAACGCAAAGCACGTGCACCGATCAGGGCAGCTGGGCTCGCCTGAGCCTGTGACAACATACGAATGAGTGTTGCCGAAGATGGATGCCCCAGGTTGGAGTGAATGCGCTTCAACACGTTTTGCATCCATCGTGGAACCTGATCTTCAGACAAACCAGGAAAGAGACGTCGGCAGCTCCTGGTTCCCAGGGTTTCATAGTTTGCTCTGGCTCAACTGCCACCGGAGTTGGCGGTGAAGTCAACTTGGACAAAGTTCTCCTCTGAGCTGAGGTCTCCACTGCCATGGGCTTGCCATAGATGAAGACGGCGACACGCACGCTTCGCTCGAACCTGGAGTTCGGGTTAGTGAGGTCCTCCAAGGCCTGACTCTCAACCTCGATGGTGTTGTCGTGGTAGAGGAGTGCTGCACCTCGATGAGTGATGTCGGGCACATTCAGCATCCTTTGAGTTGGAAGTCCACGTGTCTTTGGTGTCCGGTAGAAAGCTTTCACCTGTTCCAGGAAGGCGGAGGGTTTGATCTCCGCTGCAACTGCCACCTTTCCCTCAAGGCGTTCTGCCGCCTCTTTCAACAAAGGTCGCCAGCTGTCAGGGTCCTTCTGCAAGCTGACGTGGTCATCTTCGAGCATAGGGCCAGGTCCAGGTGTAGAAGGAGCCGGCCATGCTGGAGTT